TCAAGCCCTCAGTGGGATAGAATGAGTATGATCGGTTATGTGACCACTGTCAGGCGGTTGTCATGGTAATCTATGCAGGACCACCACCTCTGACCCACCCCGGTCTGCAGCCACATGACTCTGCTCTGCAGGCTGATAGGTTTACTGGCTGTGGTGCAACTGGCCATCAGGCATACCGGGACAAATCCCAGTGGGCCACCACACTGTACGTATTGGCACAAACCAAGCAAACATCCTCGCATATTTGGAAATAGCATGAAAGTGCTCATAGGTTGTCAGCAAGCAGAAACTGTAAAGGCAATATGGGAAACAAACTGTAGGAGGAAACCGAGAAACTCCACAAGAATGGGGTCACATCCACGAAGAAGATGACAACGACACGTTTCAGGAAACGAGTAAGACTCTCGTGATGTAACGCTCTTATATAAAAACTCCATTTACATTCCGATATATAAAGTGGTCTGTCGATTCACATCACCAGCATATGGATCTATTGGACGGCACAAAATGAGAGCACTGAGGCTGGATACTGACTTCCTGAATGTCCTACAATAAGCTTGTTCTCTGAAAACTCTCACATACCATACCGGTTATATTGTCAATACAGCTAAGGTCAACAGCAAAGGCTTATTTTGCAGTTCAGATTCAAACTGGAGATAAGACGGCCCTAAAGAAGAGTAGACTCAGACTGACCCCTGTGCTCTCCCTCAGTTTCACCCTCTGTCTTGATTCCTTTGACTTTGGTTCTGCCCCTTTCAAACAAAACAGTGCCATGTTTATTTTAACAATTTTTTTCGTTGAGGGATTCCTGGGGTAACAATGAATGTTTAGCTGTTTTCACATGAAACCGGCTCAATAACAAGTGTTAACCATATTTTGACTCCCCACAAAGCAAACATTGTGTCTTGAAGTTTTGATGAGAGATAAATAGTTTGCCCGTGTGGTACTGGCCTATTGTTCAACAACCCAAATACAATCTGTTGCTGTAATCAGCTGCTGTCTTGCTCAACCGGACCTCAAACTTGGCACGGTGCTGATGCACTGAGCTGTTTGTACCAGGAAGATTTGGATTAGGGTATTATCAGTTTAAAAAGAATTAACCCAGGTATGTGCCAGGTCACTAAATTTATTATGTCACAAATGTGAAAACTTGGTTTAGATTTTAAAAATGTAGCACAGAGCTGATGATAAATGCATGCAGAGCGGTTTCTGATCATTGATTGTCTCTCTTTCCGATCTTGACACCAATGTGGTGCACTTTGTTTTTTCAAGTCTTTGCATGACGGATTAATCACAATCTTTATTGTAACTATATATCAGAAACAGCATGGCAGAAAATAGGCTGTTTGAAAAGTGAATTGAATTTATTAGCAAGGCACAACTCTGTGGACTGCTGTAAAGTACTGTACTGGAAGTCACACGGTTTCAATTCCCTGCTCATTATCCATCTCTCATTGCAAAGGTAATTACCAAATTTACTAATTACGTAACCTCAAAAGTAATAACTTTTGTTAATCAACCCAGCTCCATAAAAAGTCCTTTTTATTACAGCTTTAAAGCTACAACACCCACATGTCACAAATAGAAAACAAGACCATGTGGTTTAACAAGTAGGTACAACACTGGAGTTGTTGGGAGGCATATTTAGGATAATCATCAGCCCTTACACCAAGCTAACAGATCCCAGACCGGTTTCTCTGCTGAACACAGAGAGAGACCAAACTGATAGCAAACCTCCGTCAATCTCCCAGAAAGACTTCCAAGCTGACGCCCAGAATGGAGCCACCAGTAGATAAAAGAGGGAATCTTCACAGTATGGTTTGCTCTGATATGTAGAAAAAGTAGAATTCAGTGGTGGAGTGTGATACAAATACAATTTACCGACTTATAACACCATGTGTAAGGGAAAAGGTGAGCCGAATATTTTTAAAGCCTTTCAAGATTCACAGCCTCCTCGCTGAAATCATGACCTCGAGTACAACACTGAAAGGGAAACTTTAAGTCATTTTGCTTTGACGCAAAAGTCACTTTGTAGATATGAGAAGGCCTACCGGCATTGAACTGTAGGTCAGTGTTTGAGTATGCGTATGCACCAATAGGAAAGGTAGATTTCTCGAGTAACTTTATTTCCATCAGACGTTTGACTTATGAAACTCATTCTGTCATGAAAGAACTTTCTCGCAGGCTTTTTGTAGACTAATCCCTTTCTACTTTGGGGGAATGAGATGAGAGCAGAGCATGCAAGAAGCAAAACAGACCCAAGAAGTTCTGAAACACGACAGGAGGAGTCAGACCTAATCAGTGAATGCAAATGCCGTCCCCGCACCAGCCTCAGGTGCCTGCGTGACTATAGATGCCAAGAACGTGTGGAACTAATCCTCGGGATTTGGTACGCTTTACCCTCTCACCTTCCCACTGCTTTAAACTCCTTTCCCCATCTCCCTTGTCTGTCATGCTGCACCAATTTTTTCCTCTGTCCTGAAATATTTTTCTTCACATTCGATTTTTTTATGTTAGCACACAGTTGCCAGCCATGACCTTCCTTCCATTAATCTGTTCAGTGACTCCTGCTCACTTCCACCAATTTCCCATCCGCTTATATTTCCAACAGTTAGATTGCTAGCCCCTTCTTGTCCTCATTTTGCTTGTCACTCACCCTCCTACTTTTTCCCCTGCCTCCTCACTCATTATCTCCTCCCTCTATCCCCCTCTCCCTGTGGTGGCTTCAGTCCCTGCTCCACTTCCTCTTGTCTGTTTCTTCTCCTCACCCTCCTCTTTTCCTTCCCTCATCCGCTCTCCCATGGTACGACCGACTCACTCACACTGGCAGGGACCAAAAGTTCATTTGCACCTTTGCAGCAGACTCCGCTGAACCATTTCAAGGGTCACAGCTTTGACCTTGGGAGAACAGCGCTACTATGGCAACAGTGTAAGAGCCATGTTGAGTTACCACCTCCACCTTAGTACAGTAACAGAGATGAGGCTGTTTGAGAAGAAACCATGGTTAGAGATGTGATACCATATTTTGTGGTCACTATGGCACACATGCTTATACATCACCATCAGAAAAAGTCATAATGGTTACGGCCCTGTCATCAGCGCTGGAGAATGAAATTATTTTTAGCAGCGGTGGGACTGCGGTGGTGGTGAGGGGTTAGGGTATTTTTAGGTTACAAACATTCTTCTTCACGACCACCCAGGATCTCAGGCTGGCTGATTTTTTCTTCTTTCCCCCCATGGATCAACCATCATTACAGTTTCCCTAATCATTTTATAGCCATGTCTCCGTCAGTTGGCCAGTCCACTACTTCAGTCCAGCCTGAAATATCTCAACAGACACTGGGTACAGACATTTGTTGTACTCGGAGGATGAACCCTACTGATTGATGATCCTCTGACTTTCCATCTTACGCCACCAAGAGGTTTTATATGAAATGTGAAATGCTAATCCCTAATGTTGCTGTCAACAGAGTTTTGATTTGAATAGTTTAGTTAATTTCCAAATACCTGCAATATTTATATATCCATCAGCTTCAGCTGTGTTTGGTGCTAATTAGCAAATGTTAGCATGTTAACATGCTAAACTAAAATAGTTAACATGGTAAATGTTATACCTGCTAAACATGTCAAACATGACATATTAAGCATCGTGGCAGCTGGCATGTTAGCATGCTAATGTTGGCATTTTCCTCAGAGTACTGCTGCTCCCAAGGACAGCCTGGCAGAGCTGTTGGTGTGGCTGCAGACTCTTAGTCTTGTTGAGAAATAATTTGTTAGGTTAGTTATAGTAACAAAGTCAGTTGGCAACAGTGGACAGACGCCCAGCAGAAAGAAAAAGGCAAAGGAGTTGATTCCTATCTGGCTTTAGTTGTTTGCTACTTCGTTTATTCCAGCCAGGCTCACTTTCTAAATAAGCTAGTTACCCTGCTTGCTACATACCGAGACGTATGACTGCCTTAGTGAAAAATGAATGAAAATGTCATTTGTTCATGTATTTACATTCTAAGGCATCTGAGAGCACACTGTAATCACTACTGACTGCATGTTAGCATAGAAAATAGGTAAAAAAGAAAAAAAGGCTTCATGGATTTTATAGGTAGCTCTTGACTCATGGCTAATCACTTGTTGCTGTTCTATTTTAGCCCTACAGCTGTACATCTGAGAAAACCTGAGAAACCTGTGGTCAGTAAAACTTATTTTGCCTGCAGTTCCAGGAAAGAAGCTTAATTAACAACTGCCAAATGGCAAGCTGTATCAACAGGGTGAAGCAATTGGACAATTGAGGCTGTTATATCACACTTGAAATTAGGGAACATTGCCCCAAGGTGAGGGTCATTACAGAAACACTAACTGGATGGCCTCTTGCGTCAATGCCTGACTCAGCGAGATCAAATAAGGATATCCTGTTTGAACTGGAAAACAATCTGTTTCTCCGAAGGACCTCGAAGCTTAATTGTTTAACTGTTCGGTGTGTGTATGTTTATGCTTCCCTGTGTGCGAGTTTGAGCAAGTGAGTGACTGGCAGTAACAGTGCAAAACAGTACCAGTAAATGAAAGATAGCATGTGTCACTCAAAATACAGGCTCAATCATGTGCGTTTCATGTTTTTCTGGCTGGTTTAAAATCTTTTTTTCTTGGAATACTTATCATATTACTTTTTCATAACCCAAATTGGTAGTACATCCTATTTTGCCTTCAAAAACTGAGAGTGAATACACTTTTCTGCCATTTCCCATCTAATTTCAGGACTTGTGCTATCTCAAAATTAGTTGGACAATGTGTACTTAACATTGTACTTAACTGGCCACAACGTCAGATATAATTCAAGGTAACTTAGTGTCTAACCCTGGGCTGAAAAAAGAGCAACAACAGATTTTGTTTCCATGAACCCAAATTCTTTCTGTCCCTCAGACAATACAAATCCACGGTTGCATTCCCTCCGATTCCTGTAACCTTCCCTCAGTCACTTAAGTGAGTTTCCTCTGTCTGTCATATTGCAGGGCAGACAGCTGGACTGTGACTCCTGCGTCACCGTGCGCCGAATCCAGGTAGCAACGGCAGAGTTTAAGTGGCGTTTCCACGGAGACCACTCTCTGAGTCTTCAGAGATGAAAATGAAAGATTCCATGCGCTCATGCTGAAAGTGCTGCTGTCAAAGCTACGAGGTGGATAAGGAGGTGAGAGGAAACAGGAAGCATGACTGGCTGACTGGGCCAACATTTATGGAATGTCTTCCATGAGATGAATTTATTTTGCAGTTAATGTGTGTTTTTGTTTTTTATTTTATAATTACTCAGTGTTTTATTGTCGCTGTCTTTCCAGGAAGAAGAAATGGAGCACTAGTGATTTGCAGTTTGGAGCTGGATGAAGCTGGAATCTCAGTTTTCCATGTATTCATGGTTGGAGAATGGTTTCCATGTATGGCCGGGAGCAGCGTGCATGAAGCTAGAGTGAAAATGGAGCTTTACTGAATAATTAACAGCCTTTCATATGCTGTTATGCACAGTTTGAACTGAACTCGTACATGTGGACAGGAATTAAGTCATATTTGATTTAGCAAGAATTAAAGGCTGATTCATTTTTATTTCAGATTTACACACACAAAACTTTCTGCGATTGTCCACATCTAAAACTTCTTATCAACTCTGGAGAAAGAAAAATTGTACAAACAGGCCTCACACAGGCCATTCCTTTCCCTGTGCATGCTGGGAAATGCAGTAAACTAGCAATCGCATTGTTGCCAGGGAACGCACAAGGGAACATATTCACTCGCATGCATTTAAACACATTAGAGGCATTTTCCTTGAACTTGCCCACCGATACACGTGATGCACACAAAGGAGTAAATCATCACATCACCCAGGCCACAGAGGGAGGGTAACGCTCACAGACATGCAAACACTTTCCGCAAGTAACTCCACATTATTACCACATACTGACATTAGGCGTTTTACCAAGACTCTTGCACATGCCCCATGATGCACAGTGGGGGTATATGGTATGCGTGCATGACTATACAATTAGCATCATAGTATGGCACTTATACACACACAGCAGCCTCTTCTGGTATGCACAAGGGCACTCTTATTTACATGCGTCAAACACACTATGCCCCACTGTTCACACACAACACACACACACACTATTCTGCCCAGATACTGTATAATGATGATGCTACTTTGGTCCCCAAACAAGATTATTCAAGCGTCTTTCTTTTTCATGCATCCATCATTCTCCGTCTTTTTGTCAGACGGCCCCTTGTGCTCATCTTTTGTCAGTTACCGTATTTACATTTTGTTGAGGTTTTCCTGGATATTTCTTGCATGTGCAAATAATGTTGACAAGCTGTATGTAAATCGTTGAAATTTTACATGCACATGTGAAAAATTTAATATCAAAACATGTTATTTGTGAATCTGAATTGGAAATGTGAACTAAAAAGTAGCTTTGAAAACCTGAAAGCTTAAATGAAAGATCATTGATGGGAAAAAAAAAAACAGTTAGCAGTGATTTTTTTTTTTTTTTGAATTTATGACCATGATGCAAAACCTACGTAAAAGTATTAGAATGAAATTTCAGGCTGTTTAGTCAGTTGCCCCCGTGATGCCCTACATCTGTCATCTTGTTAAGAACACCATACTTCTGTCCAGGAAGTGAGGCTGCCAAAGTGGGATAGTAGGAGTGTGTCTGCATAGTAACAAAGCCTGCCAAAGCATGAGGAATAATTGTGTGTGTGTGTGTGTGTGTGTGTGTGTGTGGTGCTCTGGCTACAGTCTGCAGGGGGTCTGTTCCTCTTCACTGGGCACAGAGATACAGTGTAAACAACTCCCCCAGTCAGCCAATCAGACAACACACTACAGTGACACCCATGCCCTGACAGTAACCTCACCAACACACACATGCGCGCACACACACACACACACACACACACACAGATGTCCATGACCAAACACAGTCAGAGTGGATGTGAGACACACATACAGTCATGTGAAAACTTAAACACACCCTGTGGAAATATTTAAACAAGCAAAACATTTGATCCTTTTTGAAACAGTGCCACAGAGAAAGGTGATATACTTGAACACACAACACATTAAACATTAAAATTGCTCCAGATTGGGTGCCAATGATAAGAACCTTTGCAAAAAGAAGTCTCCCAGAACCCAGAAAAAGCATTTACCATCTCAAAAGAACATTAGAGCAACACTGCAGTTTGCCAGTGAACATATAGGCAAAGATCAGGCCTTTTGGAATAATGTGCTCGAGACAGACAAACCACAGCGTTGTTTGGCCACAGTAACAGTGGACATGTTTTGGCGCAGACCAAAGACAGCTTTTCAGGAGAACCTGACACCGACTGTGAAGCACGGTGGTGGAAATGAAATGGTTTGAGGTTGTCTCCTTGCCTCAGGGACTGGGCAGCTTGCAGTCATCGATTCAACCATGAATTCTGCATCATATCAGAGAGTGCTTGAAGATAAAGTGAGGCCATCTGTCCCAAAGCTGAAGTAGAACCAGAAGTGGACATTTCAACAGGGTAATGATAACTAGCAAATCAGTACATGCAAGAAAACCCTCAAACATCTTGCAACTTCTACATGGAAGTGTAACCGAGCCAGAAATGATTACAGAATGAATGTCAACAACGGCACCTTACTGAGACTCCACCCCAAACAATACACTATTTTTAGCCCAAACTAAATGGCTCACAGGTGACGGAGCAAAACAATGGGATTTCCACAAACACATGCAAGTCCACGAATAAAATGTGTCTTACTGAGTAACGTGATTAATTTACCAAGTAGTAAAAGATCCATTTAAAACATCCCAATATTCAAAACAGATTTGTTTTAACACGATTGCCAAGACTGAAATGATCATAAATAGCTAAAAAAAACAAACAGAATGTACCCAAACTTCAAGATAGAGGAACTATTAATTGATCTGGAGAGGAGCCTTAGCTAACCCTGAAACTGGAAAGCACCTTAGGGAGAGGCACAGGATTAGTGCACACGGCAAAATGACACTTACAGTAAAAGGCATGCAAATATAAAGGGAAGGGAAGAAAAACCTGCTACGCTATGAGGTCACCCTATAAGGGTATTTCTTTCCAATTTAGAATGACATTCTCCAGTAATAGTCCTCTCAAGCGAAAGTAAAAACAGAAGTAAGACTTCTAAAAACCCAACCATGTGGGAATATAATGAAATGTCAATAAGACTAACAGCAGGCCGTTATATAACAAAAAAAAAAAAAAGAACAGACGAAAGTCCAACAAGCCAAAGGATAAAAGTCAATATCAAACAATAAAATTCAAGCGAGTAGTAGTCACTATCAGACTGGGCACAACAGCAGTGGTTGTCTCTGCTCTTGGCTGCACGCAACACCCCTGTGTCTGGGATAACACTACGGGACCAGGTGGACGTTTGTGCCAGGTTTCTCAGCAAGTCATTACAGGACACACTGGGAGCAGCTCCGCACACAAGAACGTCGATCTTGACCAGAACAGGCCCAACATGGCAGCAGAGGAAAAGGATGATAAAGGCTTTCTCCTAACAGTCTTTATCTCCGTGGGACGAGGGGGAAACTCCCCGCATTGGTTGCACAGCGCAGGGTCTGCTGGCTGAAATGGGCCTAGCGAAGGCAAGCTGATGTTAGAGATGCCTACAGGAAGTTATTTCTGCTAAAGGGGGCCATACCAGCTTCTGAGGTGAAGGGTATGCTCCTTCCACAGAGGAATAATACATCTATTGATATTTTTGTTAAATTAATTATTGAAAACACAATTTTTCTTGTGGTTTTGTTCAATATCGCCTTTCCCTGCAGGCACTGTATCAAAGAGGATCAAATGTGCTTGTTCAAATATGTTGGAAAAGTCAACAATTTCCACACACACACACACACACACACACACACACAGTACAGCATGAACTGTTAGAGGACACACAGCAGAGACGTTCATGACACTATCTGACCTCATTTCAGTGTGAGTGTGTCTGAAGTGGGGGAGGCTGCAGACAGACATACATTAGTGATGGAGCCGAGTCTGGGGTCCCACACGACTAACATAATGGCACACACATTGTACTCTTAAATGTATTTCACAGTACACAGTATCCACTTCCACCCAGGCACGGCAGCATGTGTGATATTGTCACCTCCACAAAAAAAAAAAAAACAGTGTGAAAAACTCCAGCACAGCCTGTTATGATGTTTGTCCTTGTGTAAGTCCTTGTTTTCTGCTGTTTTTGTTCCTCTGGAAGGAAGCCATAATGAAATCCCTGTGTGGACCACAGAATCCCATCGTCCTCTCCTGTCCTTGTCTGGGGGAGCAGAGTCAGGAGAATGAGGAGAGGTGTCCCGAGACAGACACACAGAAAGACAAATTAATTAGTAATTAAAGACAGTGAGAGAAATGTGTAGGTCTTATGGGTGTTGTGTGAGAGTATGCAGACAGCGGGCGAAGAGGTGAACCTGTCTTTGTCAAAGTGCTCTCTGTCTCTTTGTCCCAATGAGGGTTTCCACTTGAGAATGTGTGTGATCCTGGCATGAAAAAGTAAAGATGTAATAAACATTGCACAGAAAGAAGAAAATTAGCTTGAGATAATTTTTTTATGATAATACACTAGGCCTCTCTTTTCAAGGGGCACTCGCACCTCTGCACTGTTGTCAGCCAATGACAGGTCACCACATCTGACCCAGAGGCCACTATGTGATATGGCAATGCTTTTTCAACTTTAAAGTGACATGTTCAAAGGGTTTTGAGTCACACAAATTCTGTGGTCACAATATTTAATATAAAGATTCAAATTTAGTTTTCTTGTGCCTTGGACTTCAGCAGATTGTCATTTTGTCCTGTTGACCTCAGGAAACTTAAGACAACGTTCTAGCGCAAAAGTGAGGAAATCAGAACCGAAGCAACTAGAAATAATGTGAGGAAACATTTTGGACACCTTTTTTCACCATAGATGAAAAAATGGTGGATTATGTTGAGGCTGTTTGATGACTCTCTAAAAATGCCATTGCTTTACAATAACAACAGCTTGTGGAGTGAAGCAGTGGAGGCATGGAAGAGTTATGCATTAGGCTACATGGATTGGTTAGTAAAGTAAGTATGTAGGGAAAAGTGAATTAACAAAAAGGGAGACATTTTCGACACAGTTGGAACAGTTTGTTCCAATGTAGGAGGCTCCATTATGATTGGTTGGTGTGCTATCATAAAATTACTCTCCTAATACCAATCAATCAATAATACCAGCAACATTGAAATAATGCATTTTCTTCAGATATTCAGGAAGCCTGTCCATGTGATGGTAACATGGCAAAATTAGCATTTTATTTTATTCTTTCAAGAATTAGAAATGTTCACACCTGCAGGGCAGTTGGAAGGAAACACACACACACACACACACACACACATCCTCTCTCTCTCTCTCTCTCTCTCTCTCTCTCTCTCTCTCTGTGGGCGCATTACCAGGTCTGTGCTTGTGATTTAGTGAACCATTTTAGTCAAGGGCGTGTAAAGGCAGCACTGGGACAATAGACCTCAGGGTCAGATCCATATTCATTTTTACATCACATTTATACAAGACACAATGCAGATAGATTGATTCAGTCCTCCTGATACATGCATAAACAACAGCAAAGGTGCAGCACCTATGAGCCTCATGACAGCATACACACACACACACACACTCAAATGCAAGTACAGATGACGACCAATGCATCTTCATAAAGTGTACATGCCACTGTAAATTTCTTGACTGTATTGAAGAGGCAGAGTGCTTCTCTGCCTCTTCAATATTCATGGTGATGGAGATAGAAAGGGCCAAAAGGGCCTGAGTTAAACAACACACACACATATACACACACACACTATATTAAGTGTGTTAGAGGTAAGACATTACTTCTGGACTCTAATTTGTAGCTGAAATGCTTCCTTCAATACTGCCATACCTGTATGTGATTTAGATTGATTCTATATTGGTGAAATGTATTTTTTAGGTGATTTTTATAATGAAACTCCAAGAAGTGCATTGGGACATGTATAATAGTTTACTGCAACTGAACCTACAGTCCTCCTGTTGGAGCAGACATTTTTTTTTGTGCTCCACAGGCAGATCCATGGTCTCTAGCTTCTACACCATGGGTAGTAGGATTACGAAACAAAATCCCAGCATGCTGAGTTGAGAATATTCAAATCTTCTTTTCCTCCAGACAGAGGATGAGCAGAGGTGTGGGTGCAGTCAGGCTAAAGATGGGATTGTCTTTTAAGGACACGCTCACTGAATCCACAAAAACACAGTCTGGGAGGCTGTGTGCCTCTTGGGATATTGTGTGAGTGAGCGTACTGCATCCATCTGCCCCATCACCCCCCCCCATCTCTATCTTCTCCCCTGCTCGCCTCCTTTCATCTCCAGGTGGGCCCACTATAGCCCACTGCATGCATGTAT